AAATCTTTCATTCCTTTAGAGACAGCATGAAAAGTCAGCTGAGTACAAAACATAGAGAGGAAAACAAGAAGAAAAGGGACAAAACCTAGAACTAATAATGGATGTCTATTCTATTAACATTTCTCTATCTGTATAATGGGTCTGTTTTATGTGTTGACTTCTCAGTTCAGAGGGGCCCCTGCCTGTCTTTGCCCAGGGCCCCAAATTTCCTAAATCACTGCTGCACTTTATAAATGGAACTGTTCATTTCTCTGCTTTAAGCTGCTCATTCACTGTTGAAAAGCTGTGCTGTTTCTGTAAACAAGATCACAATAAAGTTTGCCTTAGTCTAAGTCAGACACACGAATAACCTTTCAAGACAAGTTGACAGGTTTTTCATTCAGCTTTCAGCCTGAACTTTGACTAGGCCACTCCAGAAACCTTTGACAGAGAGTTTTGGATCCTTTTCTTAACGTAGAACCCTGGATCTGACCTTTAACCTTCATCTCCAGGAGAAGCAGAGAACCGTAGAAGGTACCTGGTGATGGAGCTTTAATTTCCTTAAAACCAGAAACGACTCCAGAATAAAAGCTGCTGGGTTTTTCTAAGCCATCCATTTGAAAACAACATTTACTGCTTTATAAATGAAGGTAAAGGAAAATACAAAAGATCCGATTTGCAAAAGAGAAGTTTTTCCATCAGCCTCCAGTTTCCCTGCCATCCTGCTGCAGTGGACTGATGTGGCTTCTGAAGAACGGGAGGAATCTCTCAGATAAGTCTGATGGGTTATGCTCTGTGGGAAGTCAATTACACGTCGAGAGCTTCTGCCTCAGAGGAATCTGTGCCACACGAATGAAGCAGCCAGAAAAACAAGGCGGTTTGTGGAAATCATGACCACATGTTTGGCTGCTGCAGGGAAAACCCAGTGTTGTGAAACCCGACGCCGCTGCTGCTGTTGTCATTCCTGACGTGAATCTGACTGGGAAATCTTTACTAAGCTCCGTCGTCAGTCCTCTGTCAGGTTCAGATCTGCAGCAGGAAGCGCTGGAGGGGGTGAAGCGTAGAGGAGGGCTGCAGCGGGCCGACCGACCTGCCCGACCAGCAGCAGCCTCTTTCCAGAAACACTAACGCCAGTGTTTCCAGCAACTAGCCTGGAGACATTCTGTGGGCAGGGAGGCCCTGACAGCAGCGATGTGTCATCTTGTGTTCAACAGAGGAGGCATTTAAGTCCGACTGAACAAACAACAGAGCAGGAATAGCTGGAAACACCAAGGAGCTCTTTGGAAATGAAGAGGCAGCCATAAAAAGCCCCGCTGCCATCAGGCTGGAGGACTAATCTGGAGCTTCAGAGGACATGGACATAAAAATCACACCTCTACTAAACCCAAACTCAATCATTTGGGTCATTTTGAGAACCTTTTCAGGCTTTGGTGCCTCTAGCTATACTGGAGAGTCCTTTGACAGGCAGCCTCAGGACGTCTGACATGGGGGTAAAAAAGACAAAACCCTGGATGAAATATGCTTTTTTTAATCAAAGAACCAGAGTTATGGAGGTCAAGGGGGCTTTCCCAGCAGCCTATCCGAGGAAGAGGCCTCTTGGGCGGACACGTGCTGCATGAGAGAGACCCCCCCTGGAACCAGCTTCCAGAAGCTCCAGGAATGGAGGGCTTTGGCAGGTGGCCCCAGGGGGTGTGCTTTGTGGGTAAATAACCTCAAAACCTGGAGGAAACGTGCCTATTTAACACAAAACCAGATTCCTGGATGTCAAGGGGGCTTCCCCAGAAGCCTATCCAAGGAGGCGCATGGGAGAGACCCCCTGGAACCAGCTCCAGGAAGGGTTAACACCACAGCCACACATCCTTCACGCCATCAGGACTAGGTGTCCTGGTGATCTGTAGGTCAGTTGGGCTGATTGGGAGACCATCATGCTGACCCATGGAGCCAGTTATAACCACATACCCAACAGAGCAACCACAGCACACCTGGTGACAAAACGGAACTACCCACAAAGATTCCCAACATGTTGGGATAGAGATATGATAATACCAGAGGCCCAAAAGAGATTCCTTGGCAGGATGGATGGATGGATGGATGGATGGATG